TAATTAAAATAAGTATTTTATATCTGAAGATCTGAAAAAATTAAACAGTTTAAACATATCATTTTGTTTCATTGTGATAATTAATTCACTCTCAATTAGTAAATATTAAATAAAAAAATTTAATTTAATTATTAAATTTGTCTAGGAGGTAGAAAAGCATAAATTTTGTATGATAACAAACGATTAGCTTTTTTTCAAAAGAAAATTACCGTAAAAACTTAAAATTTTCATTAATATTTTTGATTTATTAAGTACTAATATTATCATAACTACTACTTTATTTGTATATTAGATAGTCGTGAAAAATATCGACCTAAACACAGATCTTGCGGTCGTTGTGAAAATTGTAAACGARTTGAAAATTGTGGTTTATGTTTGGGATGTTCTGAAATGCGAAGATTTGGTGGTACAGATTTATGTGAAAATAAAATATGTTTAAATGTCAACAAACAAGTAAAATATTTAGTTATTATTATTTAGTACTAAAATTATAATGTGTTATTTATCATAGGAAAATAGGCCTTTATCCAAGTCAACTAAGAGAAAACGAAAGGATTCCAGTTCTGATGGTGATCATGTTAGTTTACCATTGTTAAACCGTGATCATTGCTACGGTCCTGGATGTACTCAAATAGCAAGGTTTAATTCCAAGTACTGTTCAGACAAATGTGGTTTAAGTTTAGCTAATGCTAGAATTTTTCATGTGAGTTTAGTGCTTTATTAACTATAAATATTAAATTGATTTATTGTTATTATTTTAGGTACTACCTCCAAGACTTCAAGAATGGGCTTTATCACCATGTGTTGCAGAAGAAACAAATAAAAGAAACCTAGAAGTAGTTAGAAAAGAACAACTAGAAGTTAGAGATATATTGAAAGAATTGGATAAAAGACATAAAGTAATTATGTTTTATTATTTTAAATTTCAACTAGCTCATCAGTTATATAMAACATGTCATTGATCCATTGATGTATGAATCACAATTGTGCGTGGAAAGTGTGAGAGTTAAGGCATTTAATWAGCATTGGTTTTTATAATTATTAAATAAAAAATTACAGAAAAATATGTTCTCAAAATCTCTTGATATTTTAACCGTTGTTTAATATCTAGTACACATGTGTTTATTTTTCACAATAACAATTTGTTTTTAATGAGAATGTAATATAGCTAAATCAGTATTGAATATAATAAATATTTATTCAATTTCAAGGAGCTTGATAAGTTATTAGAAAAAGCAAAGTTGTTGTCTGTTGATTTGAATCAAGAAGTGCAAGATATTGACGAAGAAATGAGTATGCACTGTGTGACATGTGGACATGAAATACACACAAGAACTGCTGTAAAGCATATGGAAAAATGTTTTAATAAGGTTTGTTTTTATAAATTTTTCATTTGAYAATTAGTATAGTTACTTATTATTGTTTTTTTAAAATTGATTTCATCTTAACATTTTAGTATGAGAGTCAGTCATCATTTGGTTCAATTTACAAAACTAGAATTGACGGAAACAATATGTTTTGTGATTTTTATAATTCTTCACAAGGTACTTATTGTAAAAGATTAAGAGTTTTATGCCCAGAGCATTTTAAAGATTCAACTGTCATTAGCGATACTGAGGTAAAAATATTTGTTTTGATAATGATAGAATTT